GTCTTTATAAAAACTTTACTCCACCGACTCGAATTTATTAAATTAATAAATAATAATAATAACACTTTCTTCTCGATCATGTTTCATATATTTTTATCGGAATATATTTTTAAATTAATATTATTATTGTTATTGGTATTGTTGATATTATTATTATTAATTTATTAATTGAATATATTGATATAATCGAATGAAGTATAAAATACAATGGATTGTAATTCTTTTTCAGTGAGTGATCCCCCGGATTGGGTCTGCATTGAGCCTGGGGAGCCCAGGGCGATGGGACCACAGGCAGGGGGCCCCCTACGCCTTCATCCTGGTGGCTATCTCCCATTCTCCCCCAGGTCCCCCACTCACTCCAGAGCTAAAGTGTCCGGTGTAGGTTATAAAGCAACGTGATGCCAACAATCTCGGTGCACTCCACTCAGTGAAATCACCAAGAGTACTGGTGAATTCCTTTCAAGTTTACCTCCACAATTTTTTATTATTGTTTCACGCGCAACATGAGGTTTATTATTTTGGTATGTTCACAGTGATTTATTTATTTTATTTTACTAATCTGTGATTTCTGTTTATTATTAATTATGAGAGATTTTAGGGGTCATTTTTTTCATGGAATGTCAGATTTTACGGCTCGGCCATTTTTTATATTTTTCCTTTTTTGAGGTGGAATTGATCGGTTCGTTTAATTAGTCTTTTGATTTTTTTATTAATTATTCTTGGGTTGTCATTGTATAATAGAATGACAAATTTGCGTTTACTGACAGGGAGATAGTTCAATTGAAGGTGAAAGCACTTGCGGTTTATGACTTATAGTGCTTTATTTCCCTTTTTCGTACTCGGTGATTTTTTATTGTTATTTATTAATTCTTTCTGGGATGTGCAGTCAGTTTTCTCGTTTTGAAGTAAATATTTTTTTTGTGTCGAATTTCAATTCAATTCAAAATCATACTTTTCGAGGATTTTCTTCAATTGTTATTAAAATTCTTTGATAATCAACCTGGGGTTTTTACTTCAAATAAAAATGAAAATTACTGTTTCGTAAAATGTAGTTATTTCAATAGAAGGTGAAAGCATAATGAGGTTTATTACTTTGGTACGTCCAAAGTGGCCTATTTTCTCATATTTTTCACTTACCTATAATTTTTCATCAATTAACTCTGTCCTATGGACTCAATTCTCTATTTTGCAATAACAATTTTTTTCCATTCGAAGTGTCTTTCAACTTGAAAATCAGATTTTGTTAGATTTCCCCGAATTTTCCTCGTCATCCCAAAAAAAAGAGAATTCCGGAAAGTGTTGAAATTGATATTGACATACATCTGCTGATTTTTTCCTGCAAAATCAATTTTTTCTTGACAATGTACGACAATTGCAGAAAAATTCTTTTAACGTGAATTTCAAAAAATGGAAATTGAGATTTTACCCACTTCTTGTTTATAAACATTCTCGATCTATTAAAAAGACAAGCCAAAAAAAAAAAACAGTAAATGAATAGAATATGGATTTTCCAATGGACGGTGAAAGGAGCCTCAGAAAAATCGAGAGCGATTAATATTTCAGTCATATCCAAAATTTCGTAATTGATTTAAAAATGGTGAATGAGGGCATAGTCCAAGCGCTTGCCATTAAGAGATGTAGTTCAAAGTAGAGAAAAAGAAAGTGACGATGAATTTGGTAGCACAATAGAATATGTAACACACGTAATGGTCACTACTCTAGAAACTTCTGGAAAGTCCCAGACGATTGGACTTCCATGGAAAGTTGTTAATAAATTGTGAGAATAATTCTGGCTTTTTTTCCCAGTATCATGACATTTAATAATTTTCATAATCTATCAGTGACATCGATAGGTAGTTTTTCGTACCCCTCGTGTGATCAATGACGGTGAAATCTTGGGTATTGAATGAATTGCGAAAGCGAGTCTAATGGGAACGCATGACAAAGCTCAAGACAGAGGTGTCTTTTATTCCCATTTGCAATCGAAGATAATCCAATGTATTTTTCATACCCTCAATCGATTGATTGGCTTTCACTGAATTTCCCCATTGGCAACTCTAACGAATTCCCAATGCCCGATCCTAAACTATTGAACATGAATATTCGTACAAAGTGCAAAGATAATCATTCGGCTCTGGGTAAATTACAATTGATTACATCTAATTCGTGGGATTTCTTGTTACTCTACTTTCATGTCTGACACTGAGGCACTTACTGAGATTTTAAATTATTACATCGTACAGATTTACAACTCGGCAAATTATACGAGGGAACCATGGATTCTTTTCTTGAGCAAGTTTACTCGTAAAATACCCCCATAAAACCCAAAACTCGGCCAAACAAAGAGTCTTTTAACTCTGCATGCCATTCATCACAACCATTACGTTTTTCTTTAATTTTTAAATTATACGGAAGCTTCAGAATACTTTATTTTTTATTCAAAATTCAACATCTCGGTAAAATAAAATTGTTCATCAGTCGAATTAATTGAAACTTCAGAAATTCAATGACAAATTCATTATTCGCCCCCTGCAATTATAAAACATTAATACCTCCATTTCGAATTGATAAATGTACCATTCTATTTGATCGATAATAACCATCAAATTAACCACCAAATTAAAAAATAAAATTCTCATGGATTTGCCCGATTGCCATGAATTTTTATGGGACAATTGGACTGGAATTATCACTCACTATTGATCATAAAATGGTGAATTTTCGGAGCATCCGTTACTCAATCTTTTGATAGACTCGAAATCACCTGTTCATCGATTTGAAACTCCAGGGTATGCCCCATCCCCTGGATTAACCCAATCGAACATCTCCTGGTTGTCAGCAGAAAAATAAAAATCCGAACGATTCTCATTACGCAACTTCACCTGACAGCCACTTGAACCCGTGGAAGTGGATACGATCCAGCGCAGTCGGTTAATTAATCCTCCTCTTCCTCTTTCTCACGTATCCATCGCGTCACCGATACCTTCATCATATCGCAAGTATCATCATAAACCCAATTCCCAGTCATCAACTTGTCACCGCTATACAACTCAAGAAATTATTGTCGATATCTCCTCATTTTAAGTTCCTTGCAAATTTCTGGGAAATCCTCGATCAGACTGAATTTCACACAGAGAATTTCTCCTCTGAAATATACCTCAAGACATTGAGATCGATTCTTCCGGAGATATTTGAAAGGCAAAGCCATTTGCAATCATCCTGAATACTTCACGACGAATCATTAGATAAAAAAAGAACGAGTGGATATTGCGGAATTTCTAATAGAAGTCCTCTAGAATTCTCTAACGATGTATTTTTTTTTTTCTTACAAAGTTTTCGTGCTGCTTGCGCCACAAAATCATTCGATTCATAACTTAACATCAATTGATTCATCAAGATGTAACACGAGTTTCGCTCATTCACTCATCCGGTTTCTTCATCTTACGAGTCAAACCCAAGTCCTTAATTGCACCTAGACTTGGATCGCATGCGGTAGTAAACACGTGGCAGCACTTTCCGCATTTTTACCATAAAGTCTTTTTCACCTGGAAATATCAGCAGTTGATGTTTGTCATCAACTCCAACTGGAAAAACCGGAATACTAAACCGAAAAGAATGTCAGATTGTATAATCCATTCTAATTGCATTAATGAAGAGAGAGAGAAAAAAGAGCAGTTGAAATGGAAATTGATAATTGTGGAAGTGAAGGCTAATTGC